ATAAAGTAATATATGTATTCAATATAAACACACATAAATAATACACAGATATATACTAAAATGGTTCTTTGACAGGAAAGTTTTGTTCTTCATCTAGCTTTTTATTTGTACTTACTACTTTTAAAGTAAATATGATACATTATTCAAAGTTAAGTTGATAAAAGTACCAAAATAGAAAAGCTGTGACTATTCTTAACAGCCATTTCATTTTTTTCTAGTGTTCTAATCTTTTAGAAATATTATACTGACACACACTGATACTTTAGGATGCATGATTCAGAATAATTCCAGCCTAACCATTTTGACGTTGGATTCCATTTCAATAAATGTAATAATCAGCCTGGTATTTACTCTTAAAAAAAGTGAAAAGTCAAAATTCCACCTGTTTAAAAGTAGCTTTGTTGTGGACTTAGATAAGGAAACAAATATACCAAAAAGCTTTGAAGCAGTCAAATTACTCATTAACTTAGAAAGTGAACATATTTTAAAGATTCTGATGACAGGGACAAGAAAACATGAAATCTCTGGATAAGTAAGGTTACAGTGGCTTTCAGATTCCCCCACATAATGATTAGCTGCTCATATTCTGTCCTGTTTGTATATGCCCTTCAAGTTATACTTGCTTGTATGTATCATTCTCAATCGGTAGTAGATCATATGCCATTGCCTGAAAGGTCAGTTCATGCAGGACAGTGGACACAGGATCAAAGCCACGATCAATTATCAAGAGCTGGGAATGAGTTTTACCCTAAAATAACAAGGCAAAAATATTTTAAGAAACTTCAATTTCTTTCTGTGAATACATTTTTAATTTCTTAGGAAACAAGGTATCTCCCAAGCTCTGTCCCTTTTCTCCACAAGAAAGCACACCAAATAAACTGGTTAATTGCCTTGAGAATGTGAAGCTATTTTTTTAAAAAGAAAAATGGAGAGGAAAAACAAGACTACATAGATTTCTGGTATGGAGCCGTAGGAAAAGCACTTGACCCCAAAGGTCAGTCTGAACCACAAGGTCAGTGGTTCTAACTCACCAGTTGCTTTTAGAAAACTCTACGCAGGGTCACTATGAGTTGGAACCCGCTGGAAGGTACTTAACAACAACACAGCATAGTTAAAGCTTTTATAATTAGATTAAGGAACTATACTCAGTAATATTGAAAATACTTTTTAAAATAAGTAACATTTGGATTGCACTAAATCGGTTTTCTTGTGAATTCAGCTCTATAAACACTAAAACAATGTCTATCAAAAAGAGCTCCAGTAGCAGTGAAGTGAGATACTTCATTTAACTTTTACAGTAACCTAATAGGACAGAATTAAAAGCAGGTATTCAGGTTTAAGATTAAGTAATTTATTCAACTCACACAGCTAGTAAGTGGCAGTGTAGATTTGAACCCATGGCTACTTTATTCAAAGTTTGTGCTCTTTCCATTATATTATTTTAAAGGATTATATTCATGCCAGCTAAGATGGTAAATTACAATTAAATTCTTGTTAATTCACAAACAGTATTCATTACTAACCAATGAATAGTGCTGGGAAAATTTAATACCAGTATTTTTCATACTTTATTTTTTTTAAAAAATGGTAACTTTGGATTATTATTCAAAGTAATAAGAGGTTACAATTCATTTCTTCTTAACTATATACAATGCAATATAAATTACTCAGGCTAGATTTTAAAAATATTTTAAATTAACCATTGACTCATTTAACTCAACTTTGAAAAAGTATATAATATAGTGGCTTAGAGCACAGCCTATGGGATCAGATAGATCTGGGTTTGGGTCCAACCTTGATCACTTTCTTTTAAGTCTTTGGATAAGCTGATTATCCAGTTTACAAACTCAGTATATCTCCTTATTTATTTATTTATTAAACAAAATAAAATCATAGAACTTATGCCTTACAGAATTGTTGTAAAGGCATGGTGTGTAGCACTCCAGTAACATACTGATCTATGAAGGAGCCTTGGTGGCGTAGTGGATTATGAGTTGGGCTGCTAACCTCAAGGTCAGCAGTTCAAATCTACAGTAGCTCTTCGGGAGAAAGATGAGGCTTTCTGTTACTATGAAGATTTACAGCCCCAGAAACTCTATACAGGGTCTCTGTTAGACAGAGCTGACTACACCACCACCACCATACTGAGCTGTATCTTTTCCTTCATTAAATAAGCATTGGCTACTATGTCTCTGTAGGATAAACACTGGACTGCAAAGTCAGTGGTTCAAAACCACCAGCCACTCCTCAGAAACCCTATACTAGGTCGCTATGAGTTGGAACTGACTCAATGGTACTTAACAATAACAGCTATGTACACTGAGCCACTTTGTCTTCACATCTCCAATCAGACTAAGAACATTCACTAGAGCTCCAGAACTAAAAACTAGCAATTTTTAAAAGTTCTCAACTAACATCTCATCTAAGTTCACACAGTCCATTACAGTAAATTTGATTTCCTTTTGATGAATTTTGTCTATTTTTCTGTTTCTGCTCAAAAAAATAATATCCATGCAGTAAACTTTCTCTTCTATTATGTCAGATTCATTCAAGCTCAAGAGCTTCTTTTTGTAGGATACCTTCCAAAACCCCAGTTAGACTAATGTAAGGTCTGACCTGTCCCCATTCTTCTCTCTAGTGTAGTGGTTACAAATCGGGCTGTGAACCTCAAGATCAGCAGTTTGAAACTACCAGCTGTTCCATGGGAGAAAGATGAAACGTTCTGCTCCCATTATGATTTACAGCCTCAGAAATCCTATACAGGGTCACTACGAGTTAGGACTGACTCAACTGCACACAACCACCAGTACCCCCATAAGCAGCATAACTGGACAAACTAAATGAAATCAGTTTCCTAGTAATGGATAACAGCTTATGGCTGAGATACCTGAGCAATGGAAACTGCAGAAGATGGCCTGCATTCTACCTGGACTTTTCCCTGGGCATATTTTCAAACAAAACTGGAAGTAGAGTCTAAGCAGAAAGCAATAGAAGAGGAAGAAAGATCAGCATTTAGGATAGCTGAAGTAAAAGTTTTGAAGATAGGTACTATAAAGAAGCCAGTTAGAAAATATCCTAAAAATGTGTAGAGGGTCTACCTGGGATCCATGGCTAAATCCTAAATTGCAAATGTGCAGGACAATAGTTAGGAAGATCAAACTGAGAACAACTACCGGGGGGGTGGGGGGGAAACACTGGCATTCTGACCTTGACAGAGTAGAAAGAATGGGGTTATGTAACATCCAGCACTAGGATCATGCTTTAGGACTAACAGCAAGTTAACTACTTGGTGTGGTGCTCTGGGTTAATGCGTCAGACTGAAAAGCTGTTTGAACTTCAGGGTTGGAGGTTCAAGCTCACCAGCAGGTCCTCGGAAACCTGATACAGGGTCACTATGGGTTGGAACCGAGTTAAGGGCATTTAAAAACAACAAAACAAAATTCTAAAAGAATATAGAATGTAGGGTTTCTGCAAAGTGTCATCCAAAATGTCTAGCATACAATAAAAGATAACTAGACAAGTTAACCAGGAAAAAATGTATAATACTCAAGTGATGGAAACAGCAAATGAAAGCAAACCCAAGATGACCCAGATACTGGAGTTAGCAAAGTATTCAAAACAACATGTTGTTATTGTTACGTGCCATTGAGTTGGTTCTGACCCATAGTGACCCTGTGACCCTACATAGGGTTTCCAAGGAGCAGCTGGTGAGCTTGAACCACCAACATGCAGTTCAAACCAACTTTGCAGTCCAGCATCATTAACCCCAGTGTCACACCAGGACTCCTTCAAAATAACATATTTACAGTAAATAAGACAAAGCATAGTGGGGGTTCTGTGGATTGTGAACCACAAGGTCATCATTTAAGACTACCAACCTCTCCCAGGGAGAAAATAAGGTTTCCTGCTCCCACAAAGACTTATACCTATGAAACCCTATACAGGGTTGCTATGAGTCGATCAATCCCACAACACTTAGTAAGAACAACAGTAAGTAAGAGAGGAAAAAACAGAGTAAAGGTATAAAAAACACAGAGTAGTTCAGCAAATAATATTCTAAAACTAAATACACATTTATTAAGAATACAATAAATGACTCTCATACATTGCTGGTAGGAATATAAAATGGTACAGTCTTTGGAAAACAGTCTTGCAATTTCTTGTAACATTTAACATATATTTACCATATGACCCAGAAATCTCACTCTTAGGTATTTACCCAAGTGAATGAAATGCCTGTTTTACACAAAAAGCTGAATGTTTATAATGGCTTTATTCATAATTGATAAAAACTTGAAACAATCCAAATGTCCTCTAACCAGTGAATAGAATACAAAACTAAGATACAGCTATGCAATGGAATTCTACTCAGCAATAAGAAGTAATGAAAATACTACTACATGCAACATGAATTAATGTGCATGACATTCTGTTAGGAGTCCTGGTGTGGCACTGTGGATTAATGCATCAGACTGCAAAGATGTTTGAACTGCAAGGTCGTTGGTTCAAGCTCACCAGCTGCTCCTTGGAAACCCTATACAGGGTCGCTATTGGTCGGAACCGATTCAACGGCACTTAACAACAACACTCTGTTAAATGAAAAACTTACACTGTATTATCCTATTTATGTGATATTATTAAAAGTGCAAAACTACAGACACAGAAAAGAGATCAATTGCTAACAGAGTGTAGAGGCTAGATAGTAAGGTTTTCTAAAAAGGGCATGATAGAATGTTCTAGTGACAGAATTGCTCTTATCTTTATTGTGGTGTTGGTTACATGACAGTATGCAATTGTCAAAACCTGTATAGCAACTAAAAAGAGGGCAAATTCGTACATATTAATTGCAACATACTAAATAGGATTTGGAGTCTTGGTGTGGTGCTGTGGGATAATGCGCTGGATTGCAAGGCAGGTTTGAACCATAAGGCTAGTGGTTCAAACTCACCAGCTATTCCTCAGAAACTCTACTCAGGGTCACTGTGAGTTGGCACCAACTCGATGGCACGTAACAGCAACAACAAATAGGTTTAAACAACAGATTGGACAAAACAGAACACAGAAGAAGGTGACTCAAAGTCATATTAATTGAATATATCCAATTAAAGCACAGAAGGGAAAGAATGGAAAATAAAAAAAAAAGAAAATATAGTCAAAAGATCTATAAAACACATGCAACTGGAGTACAGAAGGAGCGTACAAAATGATATAAAAGCAAAAAATCTGATGAAAGTTATCAACCTAAAGATTCAAGAAATTCAGCATAGCTAAAGAAGTTTTTTCTTTAGAAAAAAATAAGAAAACCACATCATAATCAGGCATATATATCATGGTCAATCTATGAAAATTAAAAGATAAAGATAGAATTGTTAAAAAGATATCCTATCTACAGGGAAACAATAAGATGACCGCTGACCTCTAACAGGAGATATCATAGCCAGAAGGTAATGTATTAAAAATTTTACACTACTGAAAGAAAAAAAACAAAAAATCAAAATAAACCTGTCAACCCTAAATACTAAATCTACCAAAAATATTTTTGAAAAAAATGTAGAATAAAGATGTTCTCATGCAAAAGAAAGCTGAGATAATTGATTCAGCCTAAATAGAAAAAGGGAAGAATGATAAGGAATAAATAGTACCAGAATGGATGAATATATGGGGAATATAAAAGTTTACTGAATTATTAAAGCAACAATAATGTATTTCATTTAACATAGTTTTTGTTGTTGTTATTAAGTGCCGTCAAGTCGGTTTCCGACCAATAACAACCCTGTATAGGGTTTCCAAAGGAGCTCTGGTAGCGTAGCGGTTACGAATCGGGCTGCGAACCTTAAGGTCAGCGGTTCGAAACTACC